TCATTTCATTTCGGATAAGTTTTTAGACTTCGAAATACAGTAAATGGTTGGCTATCTTCAGACAGAATAGGTTAATAAATGGTAGTACAGATGGTAACAATGTTGCGTCGTATTTGAATTCTCATTTTATATTCACTAGTACTAATTCAATATAATCTATATTAATATAAAATAAATTCATAATAAAAAGATGAACCTGGCTGGAAAAGATTTCACACACTTTTATGGTCCAAGCTTTATCCATACTAGGGGGGAATGATAATCGCTATATAATTTGGATCAGAAAGCTGGAGCATTGGGAAGAGAATTAAATGTATCGGCTGACATCTATTACAGCTTCCATAATCGTTAAATCACAAGCCCAAATATCGTGTCATAAACAGGAGTGATTGGAGCTCATTATTGTAATAAAGTACACTCGGTTTCTGTTTATTGATTAAAATTATTAGATATGGAATAAAAACATTGCAGTGATCAATCTAAACAAAATAAAAATAAATATTTCTGCATCTTCCTTAATCAGTTTGTTCTTACAGAGTTGGTAACCTGTGGGTGACTGTAGTCTAAAGTCCGGCCACATGAATTCCGTCTACATAAGTCTAGCAGACTGAACGGAATTAAGAAATTTGGGGGGCAACGCCAGGGATATTTTTTTTCTTTCCCACTCTTCAGTTGTCACAAGGACATTCGCTCTCAGAAGTACTGATGTAGAAGACCCCCCCTCGCTGATTTTCAATTGTCGATACGACTTTCGCTTTTCAAAATTGTCTCAGAATCATCGATGACGCCGGCACAACAGTTTTCAATCGCAGACCACCTCGAGCCGGACATATATAGCCAATTTCGGGGGGCGCTAGAAAATAATTGATTCTTAAAGTGGGCAGTAGACGAAATACATTTGAGAACCTCTGGTCTACAGTCAGCGACAAATTATCGACCAATGTATGGACAAACCAATTGAAAACCTTGACAAGGGTATCTTGATATCTATAAAGTCATTAGGATTCCTGTATATGTACATAAACAATTGCTTTGACTCTTTAACTACCGGTTTTTACCGAGCTACTTCATTCGCTCTAGGGTGCAAATCTGTGAATTTCGAACGGTCCTCGGCGAACGTTAATTTTGCTTGCTCGACTACGAACGATAAAACGTACCTTTAGTTAGATTGTATGTAAGTATTAGATATTTTAATATTGGAAAATAGAGGAACGGCAGTAAATGGAAGGCTGGTACTATAAAATAACTGAAATAACTGGGAAGACCTAAGAACGCCTTGAATTTTAGCAGGAATGCTGCAGGCAGTGTTGCTGGATCCTGCTATCCGTGCCAACAACTTTACGATGGTATTTATAAAGTTGAGGCTATTTCAATCTGCCAGTGGATATTGCAGTTCATTAAGTCGTCTGCAAGAGTGAGAAAGGGGGACGGAAAACTGCACACGACAGCAGCGGGAATTGCGGGAATACGGGGAGTGACCTGGTGGAACTTGGACGCCGCCGTCTGGGGTTTCAGATATCTACCAGTTACTTTCTGTTTATAGATTTATCTCGTTGGGGCATATTTTATGCAGAACGGTATTTTATCTGGTTTATGGGTAGCGGAGCAACAAACTGACTAAGAAACTATGACATGAAGGCAAAGATCCCACGGACCCCCTTGGCAACAACCGATGAATCGACGAGGATAGTGTGCAAATAACGAAAAATTGAGATTGACGGGTACGATGGCCCAATGCGAACTCTTTCATAAACAGGACACCATGAAGTTTTTGCGATTAGAACTTCAATGCAAAATGACCAGACTAAAAAGAAGTTCTTTGTTCATGTCAGGCTTTCGAAAATGCCTATTTTCTTCTTCAGGACGTACGTTGTTGGACTTCTTGGTCTAAACTGTTTCCAGTTGGGGACTGGATATTCTTTCATTGGTAAAAAAATAAAAAGCGTTAAAATTTATTACGATATACTTATCCTTTCGGTATGTAGAGAGAACAACGAGTTTGAGCTGACTAGTTAAAGTGTAACTTCAAAGATCTTGAGGTTGCAGCAAATTAATCTCGTCAGAAAGAAAAAGGTTTTTTGTGTCAAGTTTTTGAAAATGAAAAGGGCAGTGTAGGCCGACCTATTATATTACTGCTTCAGAACGATTTGACCAGAAAGAGATTTTGTTTTTTTGTTTGCTGAGAGAGTGGTAGGGCAATTTGGCTGACAAATTGCGATAAAACTTCAAATAGCACGAAGCTAAAAAATGTGGACGTTCTAGTTGATGGTATTTTATTTACGTCACTTTACGAAAATTCTGTAGAGTGACGGAAATGATGTACGCAATAAACACCTTCAGAATGAATATCTCAGTTAAGTTTTCATGATTACAGTACTTTTGTTGCCTATTTTTCGTGGGAAGTTTAGAAGTTAACAACGAATTGTTGATGCATGAATGCCTATACAGGGTGTCTGCAAAAGGTTAAAAAATCTTGAAACTGGAGATACTTCAGACCAAAATGCATTATTTGTACCAAGATGATAAAACATTTTTATAACATAATAATCTAGTTGCTTTGGATCTTTGGTCTGTAGTATCTCCAGTTTCGAGATTTCCCAACCTTTCGCAGGCACCCCTGTATAATCACAATGTATGAACCTCTCTCTGAATATCATATAGTGTTCAGCATTCCACCTAAGTGTGGAATCAAATTCTGACACCATTAATTAATCTATATTTCGCACTGGCATACCTGGCTTTGTTGTGAACATGTACCGACCATGTCTGATAGCCACCTCCAAAGCTCGCGATAAGTGCTGTCCATTAAGAATCATTATTACTAAGAAGATATATCGCCGAATTCGGTTATCTTCAAAGGTTAGAACCATTGATTGTCAGTGGTCAGTGGTGCCGTTTTTTGCGGTTTTTGGATGTTGCTAACACCATCAGATATTCTCGAAAACCCCACGCAGATTGTTTCGTGTATGATTAATTTTTAAACTATGAGAAAGTCAACTAATATATGAAAATCTACTAATACGTATTTTGTTACAGGTAAGATCGTGGAACGTAGGTTTCAGTAAGTACTAGAAATAGCAAAAATGATCAGCTTGATTTTTTTCTTTGTTATTAATTCATTAAACCATTCAAAATACTTTGTCTTAACGGTTGCGAAACTCGGAAATTTCAAGTCAGTTCGTCCCAAAATCTATCATTACCGATTTTTCGATGCTGTAGTAATTTTCCTACCCGAGTCGATTTGATGGACTTGCAAAGGTCCATTGGAAATTGCTTATTAGAAAAAGTGAATGCGTCATGCAGTTAGTATCTCTTTTTCTATCAACTTCCTATAGAATTATTTATTGAGAATTCTTCCTTTACGGGCTCACGTCTAGAGTTCGACCAAAGTTTCGGCTTTGGTTAAATTCAGCAAAAAATACAGCTTCGGACAAAAAAGGCCGAGGATTTGGCGGAAGGCAAAAAATCAGTGCTTTCGAGAAGTTTTGCGGCGATCCCCTGAAAGAGTGAAAATGCAGTTTAGGAACAGTTGAAACACCTTCCAAAAGGTGTTAAGGAGTATTATGTCCGGGTGCGCCAATTTACTTAAAATTTATTCTAACGTTTTTTCATAACTGCTTGACAAAGCATCCTGCCTTCAATTATAACTCTATTTTATCTCAGTTGTCTTTGAAATATGAACTATTCATAAAATACCGTGTTTTCTACCTATTTGTTCTATTTAGATTCACTAAGAATGTGAATTATGTTGCATCTATTGTACTAATATCGTAATTGTTTCTGTCCTAAAATATCATGCATGACAGGGCACACTAGATTTTATTAATACGCTGTTTTAAGCGAAATAGCCTGTATAATATTACTACTGAGTTTAAATATGAGGAGAATAAATGTTTTTTTTATTTATCATGCAATAGTTACGCTCCCTAGCTGTTATAAAAAAGCTTGAAAATAAATTTCAAAATAAAACACCTTAAAAGCATGTCACATTATAACATTTCCCACAACTATTCATAGCAGCAGTACTTGCAACTGAAGCCGATTTCTTAATATCCTCTTAATCTCCATAACAAATAAAGATATTGATCTGCGGTTTTAATCATTTTATAGGAATTTGTATGCACTTACCGATCAGTATTAAATTCTATATCGTTGTCATTGAAATTTTCTAAATAATAAACGCTGTCACATCCACAAAGCGCCGTCTAGCGGCCCCAAGAACCAATCTGACAAGATCGGGCCCACGATAAGGCTCTTTAATATGTTAATTATGAATTTTTGCAAAGCTAATATAGTTCTTAATATATTAAGAGAAATCAAAGGTACGTCTGGTAACGATGATTTAAATATTATAATGATTGAGATTTGCTTTCCTCGTATCTTGCCTCTCTTAAGCACATACTAAATTTTTGTTTGATTAATTCATTGTATCCGTCTAGCTAAAAAACACAATGTAGTCCAGCTACCAAATTTTTTTATTTTTTTACCGGAATTCTGCAAATTTCTGGAAAAGATTATTTCGATGCAGATGACAAAATATATAGAGGCTAAAATTACCAATGATATTTTTGCGACGAAGGATAGAAGTGCTTTGTTAATATTGTTGGACTTCAGTCGTGTTTTTGATACTCTGAATTATTTTCTTTTATTGAAAATATTAAAATTTATAGGGCTAGCTCAAAGTGCAGTAATGTTTTCCATAACTTCTTTAAAGATAGACAGCAGAGAGTGGTTTTAAGTGTAAAATCATGAAGGCTCATGAATATTTCATCCGGAGTACGCCAAGGTTCCGTGCTAGGCCCTTTGTTCTTCATTATTAAGTACAAGCTTCAACTCTACAGCATGCTAAACTGCATCTTTATGCTGATAATACGTAGTTGTATCTCTCGTTGAAAAGAGAAGAGGTACGGGTAACTTGTGCGAAATTAAACATTGACCTCAATCATTTTATAAACACGGTCGCAGATCACTGTTTGGTGAACAATGCAGATAAATCAAAAATGTTTTCTGGTCCTAAGCTGCGCAACGATAATGTAAAATCATATATCAAATACAAATTGGTGATGTCCACATTCCCTTATCGGAACAAGCTAAGAGTCTTGGAGTTGTACTTGATTGTGAACTCAGGTTTAAGCTTCATATAAAAAATGAACTATTGCAAAAAACGTGTGCTGTTTTGAAGCTGATTTATATTAACAGAAATTATCTTTCTAAAAAAATCTATGTGACAGTCTGCTTCTATCATTTCTCAATTACGCAGAAGTATATGGTTCCCATTTAACATCTGTTCAAAAACAAAAAATACAAAAAGTGCAAAAATTTTGTTTAAGACTAATTTATGGTATCCGCAGATCAAGCAGTCTCTCACAAATTATATGATGTAGGATGACTAAACATGTACAACAGACGTGTATTGCATACGGTTTGTTTATATCACAGATTAATGATTGCTAAACAGTCCATATATCTCTATAATAAAATGAAATTTCGCACGTCTTTAAATATAAGATTTAAGGGACTATTGTCTCCTCTCCTAGGCTTCGCCATGAATTTTTTAAACGAAGTTTCACCTACCAAATTTATAGTGTGTAGTTTCTCGAACAAAATTGAAACAATTAGATCTAATTTCACCAACATTAATATTTGACGGTCAGTTGGACTAATAGGAAAAGACCTGATCGAAATGCAATTTGACAGAAGCTGTCAAAGCTCTCTGAATATCAGTGATTTCTATTGATATGTTGAATAAAGTCGTGAAAAAATGGTTGCCTTATAAATAAGGGTACATTATAGATGTAATATTATGTCTTTGTGCTTTAGAATTAGGATAACTTTCATAGAATTTCCAATTTCACAAAAAATGGTCTGTTATTTAAGTATCCGCATCCACCTATTATTCATCGTCTAGATATTATAAGTCAGAATCAAAAATACTTATTTATTGTTATATTTTCTTATTATTTCTATTATTATAACACGTATGGGATATCAATTGCTTTTGAAGTGATCTGCAGTGTTGCCAAACCGAAAAAAAAAAAACGGAATCGGTAAATAGTGTCGTTGAGTTCGGTATAAGGTAAATGCCGTCCAAGATCAGTGGTAGAGCAAGGACCTTTTAGAGTCATGAAAAATTTCTGTTATTGTATTGGTCGCGCACACACATGTTTTTTGAGGGCATAGTACTATATTACAACTTCTACAATGTGCATACTGGTCGCTCTTTGCAAACCATTCTGGAATCTCCTTTTCCGATTCTTGCTTATGGGATTATGAATATTTTTTAGCCCTGAACTCACCTCTCATTTTAATTAAATATTTATTTTGAAAACAGGCAGGTTTCGGTTTCTTTATTGCTTGTCCGGTGTTGAGGTAATGACGGTGATCTACCAATCTGTACCTTTTGTATGCACAAAAATGAATTCAGGACAAGCGGAGTGAGGGATGAGAATGTGCGTTCGTCATCATAGAGAACCCAAATCTACGCCTCTCATGTGCCCTACTGCCTGAGTGTGTATGCATATTTATGTATGATTGATATGGGGCATAAAACTTTGAAGACTACATAAAATTAACTTTTAGCTTTATTTTTGGTTTCTGTTCTTTTTCGGCAAGTATAGAAATATTTAAATTATTTTGAAAAATCGTGGAGAATGATGTTATGGGTAAATATTCTCTTTTCGCTAAAAATTCCGAAAAATCCGGTTCAAGTCCATGCATACACATCTGAAATTTGCAATATGAATTTATATTCTAAATTCTATGCATATCCGTTCACATTCGTCAATATTTCATTTGAAGCTTTTATTTGTTATACGATTTTACCAAAATGTAAGATAGTAAAGGCAACACCGCACCCTGCAGCCCAGTTGACAAGAACGACAAGCTCTCAATAGTAGGGGTGTTTATATCCACGAAAAGTATCGGTATGTATCGATTCTTATCGTTTTAGGAAGTATCGATACTCTAAAATATTGGAATAAAGTTATCGATATCCGGCGGAAGCAAACAAAGAAGAAAAGTAATCTGAAGTTAGCCATTCTTTCTGACACAGTCCGGATCGAAAGATGACGATACTCGTGAAATATATCGATACACCCAAGTGTCGTATATAAAAATATCGATCCAAAATATCGGGTATGGGAAGTAAAAGTATCGATACGTCTAAATATAGGATCATATCGAACATTCCTACTGTCAAGATGTATAACGCGAGGTACCGACGCAGCTATTTTGCGGCGTCATGGAAATAATTTTAAATTTTCATTTGAATTTTTTCACGTGTTGTGCAACGATTTTGGAAAAATTCCACGAATAGTCTTATAAAGCAATAGTATATTTCAACAGTTGGCGGAGCGTACTCCACTGGCACCAGGGGGGGTGAAACGAGATATTAATGCACAATCTGGCAACCATGTCGCACCCTCAAAAAATGACCGCTGACAACCACACAAGTCACCGTGTTGTCATTGAATAGCATGGAATTAAACCTTCTTCAGTGTATATGTTTTGTGACTGGGACCAAGGGTTGATAATCAGCTGTTATGCAAATAATGTCTAATTATATAACCTAGAATGTATACTCGTGAAAAAAGAAAAATATTGCAAATTTCTAGTTTTTTTTGCAGGTTTTAGGTTTGCTGGTAGCTTTACGAGATATGTTTGGGTATTTCTTAATCGCTGTAAATACAGTGTGGATGTTTGTTCACTTTCCTGAACAACGAAAAATATTCAACTTTATGGATGTATGGATATTAAAAAAGCTGAATAGTTTTGTGGGAATATCAGTCTAAGGTGCCATAATGGTTCTGATAAACAGCAAGTAAATGAATGAATGATTGGAAACGAGCAATATCTATGAAATTTTTGGTAGAGTCTGTCATCAAGTAGGTGTTTAATGGCTATCTGCAAGAGGTTTATAGGAAAAAAAAACACGAGAGGTGAAGTTAAATCAGTAAAATCGCATATCAATTGAAGAAAATACTATAAACATGAATAAAAAATCAACAATAGTAATTAAAACATGAATTTTATTCAAAAATCAAACATTTCTTTAAATTTTGACTGAATTATGTGTAATTTCTTAATATGTATTCAATAAGATGGCCATGTTTCAAGGACAAGCTGTCATCTCATACTTTGACAATATTTTGTTTTCAACATTTCATAGGTATTGGTTGCTGAAATTTTTTGATTGGATGTTGACGCTTATTTGCTGTATTTGACGGACTGTTACCCTATAGGTGGAGAATAACGGACTGTTAATTTGACAACCTTGGTGAAATCCACCCTTAATATTGTAAAATTCAAGAGCCCTGTCAAACCGACATTATTTAGCAAACAGAATATCGGCTTTTGTAAAAAAACTGACCTTCTGTCGGACAATTTATCGAAAAATTGATGGCGATACATTTTGGGATGCTAACCTAACTTGGACGTTATCGATCAAAGTTCAAAAATATCTTTTATTTCAACTGCTAAGTTTCTAAATTTTAGTGCTTTACTTTCTCGTCAAAGCCCCTCCAAATTCTTTTTGATTTTTCTTTTGAAGCCTAAGTTTTCTTGATATAATACAAATTAATACAAAAAAACAGCATAAATCGTATGTTTTTACATTTTTTATTTTACCAATTTCCGGTCCTCGACACACTGGTGATATCGATATTACTTGTTCTCTGCTACGTCAGAGAACGTCCACCTCAAAACATAATTTGGCTGATCTTTAAGCATTTGTGGTATTAAGCTATCTTAATATCTGTCGTTGGAGTTCTCAGTATGGCAATAGCAATATATCACAATTGACATAACTTTAATATCAGCACACAGAAGATGTCGAAAGGAAAGATAAAAAACAGTGTTATGAAAAACTGTCTAGCACAAATGTCTAGACATTTCGACAAAAAACTGGTCACTTGGTAGTTTCCTGGTACGCTAAATCAGAAACTCAATGCTAATCAGTGTTTACCTAAGATTTTAGACGGATAGATGAGGTCGCGTATGCCGTGTCGCGCATTGTTAGGTCGACCAATACGGGATCAATAGCAGATAATGAGATTCAAGCTCCTCGCTGCTGCGTTTTCCCACCATCCCAAACAAACATATTGTCTGTAAGTAAACTTTGGCACTCTTTAAGCGATAAGGTGCATAATACGAAGGTCGAACATTTTTGTTATGGAAAGTGCTGCATTGTCAGATGGCCCTGTTGTTTCGCAGAGTAGGTATCTTCCATATGAATCTTTTTGGAAGATTTGATGGGTGCAGAGATCTGTGTTGCTAAGGTCGCATATTTATTCCTTTTACTTTCATCCGCCGGTTTGGACCAGAATTCTAAATCATTTTCATATGATTATTCCGTGGTGTATATAGAAATGACCTAAAAAAACGTTGTCATTTTTTTCGTAAAAAATGCATGTTTCTTTCAATCGTATTGTTAAGAAATATTAGAACAGCTCTGAAACTGTATGTCAAAGTTTCACTTTCGTAGTAGAATTGAGCAAGTGATTGCTTTTATTCTCATTACTTTTTCTGTTCATAGATCTTCGGCAAATTCAGTTTCTAAACAAAAACAAGGATTTTTGAAGAGAGAAAGTGATAAGAAAAAAGTAATCACCCGCTCAATTCTTCCATAAAAGTGGAATAACCGCATACAATATTAGAGCTGTACTATTATTTGTTAACAAGTTATGAAGGAAGAAAAAAATTGATAAACAATGCACAAAAATGCATTTTTTGACAAAAAAGAACTGATAACATCGTTTTTCAGTCATCCCTATACACATTATGAAACAGTCACACCAAAAGTATTAAGAATACTCCTCCATGAAACAATCGGACAAAAAGTATTAAGAAACTTCTACAGACAGGCTGTTGAAAAAAGGAACATGTCACGTTCACGGGTGGATAATCGGCAGGCAACTTATGATTGGGAATTTTAATAGGAGGACATGTATCTAGGCTTAAACTATTATTCACGATAGTTCAGACATCTGTGGTATATCAGTGCTCCCGTTATTTTTGACTTGTTGGCAAAATAAAATATGACCCGTGCATCACTAGTTTCACCATAAGAAAATGCCATCAGTAGCCTGCCAGAATTATCTGTATAAATGAAGGGTACAGGGGAAAAAAGA